AGAGGGACCTGGGAGTCCTGGTGGATGACAAGCTGACCATGAGCCAGCAGGGTGCCATTGTTGCCAAGAAGGCCAATGGCATCCTGGGGTGCATTAAGAGGAGTGTGGCCAGCAGGTCGAGGGAGGTGTTATCCTCTCCCTGTACTCTGCCCTGGTGAGACCCCACCTGGAGGACTGTGTCCAGCTCTGGGCTACCCAGCTCAAGAACTACTTGCAGAACTCCTAGAGAGAGTCCAGAGGAGAGCAACTAGGATGATTAAGGGACTGGAGCATCTCCCCTATGAGGAAAGGCTGAGAGAGCTGGGGTTGTTCAGCCTGAAGAAGAGAAGACTGAGAGGGGACCTCATCAATACATACAAATATCTTAAGGATGGAAGTCAAGAGGATGGAGCCAGACTCTTTGCAGTGGTGTCCAGCAACAGGACGAGGGGCAATGGGTAGAAACTGAAACATAAAGAGATTTCAGTTGAATATGAGGAAAAACTTCTTCACTTTGAGGGTGACAGAGCACTGGCACAGGCTGCCCAGGGGGGTTGTGGAGTCTCCTTCTCTGGAGATATTCAAAGCCTGCCTGGATGAAGTCCTGTGTCACATGCTCTAGGAGAACCTGCTTTAGCAGGGGCGTTGGACTAGATGATCTCCCGAGGTCCCTTCCAACCCTTGCCATTCTGTGATTCTGTGATTCTATGACATCTGTGTGCTGAGATTCAAACTGCTCTCCCTGGGAGGCTCTTGACAAGAGGACTATTCCAAACATTGGCTAGGTAGAACACCCCCCACCCCCTGAGAATTACTGCATACTACCAAAAGACAAACAAACAAAAAATGCCCATTCTAATCTCTCTTGCAAACTTCACTGTTCTTTTAGAATACACTCCTGAAGACTGTCATAAAGATCAGAAAGCGAGAAACTTCTAAAAACAAAGTATGCACACCCTGGAAAATTTTTTCAATGCTAAGGGACAGGAAACTTCTCATGATTAAAAACCTTGTGGGAATAATTATGTGATCCAAACCCCTAATCTTCTATCATCAGTCCTGGAATACGACACAAGAAAAAAACGAATCTATTAGAACTAATGCCTGGGGTGAACCCGATAGAAGTAAGCCTCCAGAATAAGTAAAGGGATCTTTTTATTACTGCAAAAATCAAGCATCAGCAATCTTGACTTCCATGCGCTTACATCATAAAGATGCTTTTCTTTCATGAAACTGCTCTTAGGGAAGAAACCTAATTTGTAGCATATAATTAGACTGGATATTATAAGGAAACACACCATTTTCTTTCTACAATGAGCCAACATACAAAGTACACACTCACAATTTTATAGACAGGGACCTGGAATTACCTTTTCTCTAGAGCCCAGCCTGGAGCTATGCCCAACTCCAGCACTTAACACACCAGCACCTTCCATCATAACGCAGCAGTGCCTCAGCGACATCTCCCTCCCTTCCAGCCCCTCTGCAGCTATTCACCATTCACCTGCACTGCCACAGAAAAAAGTCACTGGTACCACCTAGCCCACAGAACCAGCACCTCCTTGATGTCTGTCAAGCCACCGGGATAGGGACGCTTCCTGCGTGCTCCCTCCCCAGCTTGGATCCACTGTGCACCTTCCAATCTGAGGACAGCTGGGATGCAGCAACAGCATTACTCCTTCGAAAAACCTTAGGTAAATTTAATCTTCATGGATCTAAGGAACAGATAGTTCACTTTAAAGCAGGAATTGCGTTTATCCCTTTTGCTTCTTAACCTTATGCCTCCCATTTTCCAAAAGCTTTTCCAAATAACCACACCTGTGCTCAGAGCTCCTGGCACAGCCACAATGAGTGAAAGTCAGTATAATCACTATTAGACTTGTAACACTTCTATAACATATGCATTTCTTTCAGAACCAGGAGAAACATTCCTCTGAGATGCTTAAAGGTGCACCTTCATTACTACTCCATACTGTCTGATCTTCAATTCATTTTGTACCTTCACCTTGTATACATAAAAAAGCCAAACCAATTGCTTTTTCTAGCTTTATTACTTTAAGAGGGATCTACTTCTAGGATTTGCTCGATGTTGCTATCTGAAATTATCAGGACAGCACTTCAGAAAGGTCAACCTTGTATTTTATAGAAACCAAGAGCCATCCACTATTCCCCAGGTGAAAAGCAAAAGTAAAGATGTTAATATCAATAAAAAAACTAAAAAACTCACTCACTGTCTTCTGTGGGAAGGACCTGCAGGGAATAAATCCATTCTATTATATCATCTTTGTTCACCACATCTAAGGAATCCAACATATCCAGACCAGAGAGTGCGAAAAATGCAATTGTCAACCTAAAAGAAAAAGATAAGACTTACACTTCCCACCATAAATATCATGGGGAAATTAACAAACGGTTGCAGAAACAGAAATATCTATGAATTCTCAGCCTTTGACAGCGGTGCAACACATAAAGCCTAGCTCAGAAAGCATGAAATTTATCCACTGGACACAATTACGTTCTTTGTACTGTATATATTTCTCTGTCTCAACAACGCTTTTCATATAAGCCACTCCTCCTTTTATATAGTAATGATATGCCAATTCAGACATTAACCTAAGGACCTGCTTACCTGAAGAAAAAAGCACTACAAAGTAAACTAGGTTATTAACATAATGGAGCACTAGTTCTCTGTGATGAATTCTTACATGAACAAGCCCCTAAATATGCAGTAAGAGCAAGACAACCCTGAACTGCAGTGTGCTGTCTCTCATTGTGCCCCAAACCCAATTTCAGATGCTTAGAAGCTAAGTGTCAAACAGCAAGGCTTCCTTTGTAACCAGTCAATGTATAAATAGGCACACAGGACGAATCCAGAGGTACTTTATTTCTTGTCCTTTGCTGTAAAAGAGCCTAGATGACTAACTTAATTAAACATCTAATATTAAGCACCTCAAATCCAAGTATCCAATACAGGAGTGAAGTAGCTAGCACATTGAATGTCTGCCTTGCCCACAGCTCCTTTCTTTCCATAAACGTGTGCTACCATACCTGTTGACCAGCACCTTCTTTTGAGGGTTTTGTTTTTACCTCAAACCATTGCAGCCACCCAGCTTACAGCATGGTCCCTTAAATAACTGCATTACGTGTTCTGACAAGAGCACCCATGCAACAGCACTGGGTTAGGAAATTGCGATAGCTTGCTAAAAAGAGAAAACATTCACGTAATGGTACCTTGGAAGTTCTGACTCAGATTAAAATTAGCTGGATGTATACTTTGCCACCCACACTTGCATCTGCCTATCCTTCTTCTAGAAATTCTTGCTCTCCTTTCACCAGACAAGATGATGGATTGTGAAACAGCTGCTACACAGGCAGAAACTAGTTTAGCATGCTAAGGAAAACCAAAATGTTTATGCCAGCTTTCCTGAGGAGCCCAAGTTATAATTTGCAGTTGCCTCACAAGCTGGTGAGCCACCTTGGACATCAGTAGTAGGCACCTCTGAAGATGAGGAGACAGATTTGGATAAAGCCCCTACAGTCACTTAATCTCTGCATGTGGCTCTGCATCAGAACCACATACAGAAGACCAAAGAAAAAATGGTGATGTGAGTCAGCCCAAAACACACCTCCGAAAGAATTCTTCTAATTAAAACAGCCAAATGGTGATGCAGCAGACACTGATCTCAATAAAATGGCACAACTTCAAAGGGTGGCATTCCTACCACTGAGCTGATGGGCTGCTGCAGTCATCATGTGGCTATTCACAAGCAGAATTTAAGTCAACAACTTAAACTTCAAAACTGTTATCATCTACAATTACATAGCACAAGTAGTAGCCACAACACAGTTGAATAATTGTGATTTGTTAAGCTGAGGTTACTTGGTTACACACTATCTTTTACTTTGACCCTTGGTTTTTGCATAGTTTTTCATAGCACTCTTATAAACAAAAGATTTTAATCTATAATCTGCTTGAATATTGAACTCTAACATTCCCTCTTCAAAAAATGCCTCCATGCAACTCTAAGGTCCTTGCAAAAAAAAAAAAAAAAAAAAAAAAAATCAAACACAGAACAGGGTACAGCTCTATTACTGCAAGTACTGATGGCAGAAATCGTAAACTTACTCTGTAATCACTGGATTCCAAAATATGTCTCTCAACCATTATTATTACAAATAAAGATTTGTGTACAGAAAGCCCAAAAAAGTATGTTGCACATGAAGGTATTTGTGTGTCGAACAAGAGTATCTTTTAAGCCATCTGATGACTGAAAAATTGTCTTTCAAAGTACAAAATTAACACTTCAGGGTTTGTATGCACTTTTGCCATTGATCAGATCTGTGTAACCCAAAATCTGACTCTGGATAATAACCCACTATTTCAAGCAAAACCACTACTTTTATAAAAAAAACAAGGAAATTACTGTTCAGGTACAGTAAATTATTTCTTTGAAACCTTGCATATATTTCCTGATTTTCACAAACACAAAGTTTGGCAATCTTTTACTGAAACTATTTAAGACACTTTCACACTACGTTACCCAGCTAATAATAATTCCAATGAGGCACAAACCAGACGGAACTTCAGCACCAGAAACTGCTGCAAACTAGGTCCAAAACTACAAGGCTGTACATGCAAGACAGACAATAAACCTCATCTGTACTTAAAAATACATATATCAGATAAATGAATGTAAGAAGTTGTTTTACATACAGTTAGATTTCAGTTCACTTATTTAGAGCCGATTCTGCTTGTTAATAGTACCAGCATGACTAAGGAACAGCCCATAGAGCATGTTGGAATTGACGTATGATGGGCAAGAACATCTGGCACCACTAGGCGTAGACAAGTCCTGACATGGCCATCTAGATACTGCATCCTTGCTCCATACGCTATTCTGCCTCACAGAAAATCAGAAAATTAGCAGACACGTGTTCTAAGACTTACAACAACACTCTTTGCAGCACCTTAGCTGACACACAGTATGAAGTGAAAAAGCTTTACCTGCAGCAATTTCCACAGAGGGCAGCCCTTTGTAATGCAAACCCTAGGCTTGGCACCGCTTTTACTGTATCTTTTTTTCATGCCTTCTACCAGTTTAGTTACTGCATGTGTATTAATTTAGGAAGTCAAATGCCAAAGCTTGACAGCTGAAATGTATTTAATTGACCTACCAAAAGCTTACAAAACAGGTATCATTTGTCTTAAGCTCCCCTCCAAGCCAAGCAAGTAAAGACACTTCTGATGGCTCTTCATCTTCAGGCATGGAGAAAGACTTCTCAGCAGAATTCAGAAAGCATTTGAAGTGACCCATCTGAGAAACTGAGTAAGTTTGCTGCAAAGAGCACCATGAAGCACCACAATCTGAAATCCATGAGAGACAAGGAGCATTGCATTCTCCTGCAAAATCTCACAGTACTGACTGATCATGTATGAAACAGTGGCAGCCAGATTACTTACAAACTACCAATGCTGATGCTGCATGCAATAACTACAGACAAGAATAATTGTGAAGGCTCTGAGACAGTAAGTTGAGTAAAGAACGTGAAATCAAATTTCTGCATCATTGTATCCACTCCCTTAGTGGTCGACACACTACAGCTTAAGTTAGAATGGACCAGCACTGTGTGGAAGATTTCATCCTCTACCACCCTGCCTGGTGACAACAAATGCAGTTCTTCCTGCTGCAGTGCAGTGAACCAAAACCAACTCACTGACAAAGGACTTTTTTTCCCCTCTTACAAGTCTCTCTTTAATTTAGTTGAGTTTCTCCACCTAATTCACCATGGAACCACACAAATGCAGGAACAAGGGCAGTAAGAACAAAAGGGTAACAGCATTTCCTTCTGCAGCAGTACCAGCTCAGGAGGCTTGTTGAACTTAGTGACCTTGAACTCGTCAAAAAGGCAAATTCTGTCAAACTGGGGAACACCCATTTATGGTTCAATCCCCCGCTTAGAATTTGTTAACAGATGTGTATATATTTCTTGCAGAGCACTCATCTAAAAATCAGTGTAAGAGAACTGAAAAACTTGTGGCTGAGTAAAAACTTCATGACTTCAAAAAATGCATGAATTTAGATGATGACAAATTTTATTCTAATTGAAGGCTTAGTCTGTGCTCACTAGCAAAAAATTAAGGCATCCTGAAATAGTTTCAAACTGACAGTTCCGATTTTCAGAAAACAGTGTTTTTTCAGTGTTGCATAGCCATTACGTACAACACACCGGGCACTGGTTTTTTAATGTACTGTGGCTACTACGACTACATATTAAATTTAAGCTCAGGCAGCTCATTAATTGCTCAAGAGTTCTCAAAACAATTGGTGTTATTGTTGGCATTACTCAGTAAGACTAGGGAAAAGCCCATGTAAAACTAGAGCCTCTGTTTCAGCTCAGTGGCAACCTGCGACAGCTTGGCAATGTAAATCACAGAACAAAAACGTCTAGGTTGCCCAGGGCCCCCAGAGATCACTGGTCCCACTTTCTGTGGGAAGCGGGGCCTCAGCGGAAAAGACCCAGGACCCTGACAAGGCAAGTCTTCAAGGCAGATTCCAGCACTTCACTGCGCAACCTCTTTGTCATTAACTGCGCTAAATTGAAGAACATTTTTCCCACATCCAAGCAATTCTCCCTGGAGCACCTCACTCCTGTAGCCTCCTGCCCTATCACCAGGCTCCCTTGTGAAGAGCGCACCTCCACCTTTCTCTGCAACTAGTTCCTCGGTAATGGAAGACTGTGGTCAGATCCTCCCTCCTCTAGGCTGAACACACCCTGTTTCTTTAGCCCGTCTCCATACATCAGCGTGGCTGATGTAACGCAAAGGTCAGCCCTTTGCGTCGTCATTCTAACGCGTCTGCGTGTTACCGTAACCTATACGCCTACGGAGCAGTTAGGCGTATAGCATGCCTAGCATTCCTCTTGCTGCCATTTGAAATAACTGACAAAGTTCATTGAAACATCAGCTACTTCTTACTGAATACATGATTTACATCTCTGAAATAAAAAATTCTAAACTTCCTTTCCAACATGAAGTCATGTGTTATTCCACATGCAGTTTGGCACTACCCATCCTTCTGTGGTTTTGCCAAGCGATTGTGCTCTCAACTGAAATAAAGCTTGACTTAGCAGGGAGACTTGGTCGAAGCCATTAAGCACTCCTTACAGCGTGACTTGCGGGAGATTACAAAGTGAAAAGCATCTGATGATTTTATCGGTTGTGCAAGACGTCTCCAAGTTTTTATCAAGTGCTGCTTGACAATTGATCCTCTTGTCCCTCAAACGTAACCAACTGCCTTAAGTGAAGACGTTAAGAATCTGAAATAAATGTATTCTGAAGCCATTAGAGGGGCAAGCGTCCCTCAAATTCACAGTGAGGAGCACACTTTGCCAGTATTTTAACTCTTACCCTAGCTCATGAAGACTTAAATTACTTCTGTTACATAAACAGAGCCTTCTGCATGCTGACTTCGATCTACAAAAGGCTTAACTCATTTATTTTAAAACCGGCTTCCAGGGTGGATTAAAGGAGCGAAGCACAGCACTGGAAATAGACTAAAAGGATCAACAAGTCTTCCCTCGGGGAGCTTACGCGCGCGCAGACTCAACTCCCACACCAGCTCCCGGTTTTGGGAGCCGTCTGATGGTGGGCAGACTTGCGGGGAGCGCTGGCCCTCCCGCT